TATATGTAAATTTTTAATTATATAAGTAATATGTCAATTATATAAATCAATTAAATAGATTGGATCAATAATTCTAAACACTTATATTTATTATTTGATTTGATATTTATAAATATATTATTTTTATACTCATTACTTATCTTTTTTTTTAACAATTTAGGTATGTTACTTATTTTTTTACAATTCAAATATGATACTTATCAAAATAACTAAAATATTTATAAATACTGGATATACTCATATCCAATACTTACCTTATTATTTAAGGAAAAAAAAAAGGAAGAGAGATATTCTTTTTGGAGTTGCTTTCCCAATGTGTAATATTATGGAGGTTACACCCAACACATTTTATTTTATGTTGGGAGTTTTGACTTGAGTGAAATGTTTAATTAGTCCACAACTTAATCGAAACAATTAATTTTATTTGAATAGAGGCTGGATCTAATATTCTCTGACCAACTATACATTTGCTTTTAAATGTAGTTGAAAAAGGGTAGAGTCCTTGGTACAATGATTTAAGAAAACAGTAGATGTTTAAATTGCAACCCTTGTTTGGCTTCAGAATTTAAATATGAGATTTTTAATTTAAAATTTTAATCTACTAAAGTGTTCTTAGCCAAGGCTAAAATAAATAAAAATAAAAAAAATTATTCCCACTCGGGGACTTTTGATGACAATAGTTGTTACTTCTTGCAAGGCCTATTATAGCCCAATTCTCACTTGAACTTTTCTGTTGGTTGTAAGGCCCATTAGAGTCCAATTCTTATTTTATCACATAACAACCAGATTAAGGAAAATGGGTCACGTAATCTAAAAGGCAACAGATGCAATGCAAGGGGGCCGAATTAAACCCACCAATCACACACCGAAAATGAAGGAAAATGGGTCAGGACTGAAATAAAGAGGTAGAAAGTGAACTGAATCTTTGTTGCTCTTTTTTTATATAAATAAATAAAATAAAATAAAAAGAGTCATTCAAACATCAAAGTGATTTTAAAGGGTTTTTAGCATGTAAACTTACCCTTACAACATTATACGTTAAGGCACCAAATAGATTCAATTTTTTAAAGGGTTTTAAACATGTAGGCTTAAGATGCATTAATTGTATTTTTTTATTAATTTGTATAGAAAATTCTAAAGTTGATTTTAATTAATTAATCATACAATTAAAAACTTTCATTATGTGAGATTAATTTGACAATTTTTTTACTAATTTTTTCTATGTTAACAAACACAGAAAAACTAGCAATCCAACATCATTTTGTTACAAAATCTATCAACTTTCTTTATAATATTTTTAATTTTTTTTACATTACTTTCTAAATCACTTTCTTAATGATTTTTTTTTTTTAAAGTTGATTTCTAACCGAATAGCCCTTGATATCTAATCCCTCAATACATTACATTACCTTACATTACACATTATTAAAAAGACACACACATTTTTTTCTGTACTTAAAAATAAATTCATAACATTAATTAAATACACATAATGCTAGTTCGATACAAATAGTAATTTGTCATATAATGCTAGTTCGATACAAATAGTAATTTGTCATATCATGGCAAAAGATAGAAACATTATAAGAGATAACAGAATTATTCATTGAGAAAAAATACATACATATTACATAGACTGAAAATTATATTCAATATATCACATCACATTAAAAAAAAAAGGGAAAAAAAAATTAAAACAACAATAACACTAATGGGATAATCATGTAGATTCCTCGCACTCATGGAATATATATGTTAGTGCGATACTAATGTGATCACCGGAATTGCTGCACGCACTCTTTACACCAATGGAACAAGTTCATTGCCCAGTTTTTCAGCATACCAAATATTGTATTAGCAGAATTGGTATTGATAAAAATGGGTAATCTTGGTGGGTTTAAGACCGAAATCAAGTTGTGAATAAGGTGATTGGCGAAGAAAAGCCACACAAGGAATGAGACCAAGGCAATATATGGTTTGCTAATTGAAATGAGTGAAATTACCGCTAGTAAACTTGTCAAGGTGGAACTCGTCCTCATAATTTCACTCCAATGCGAGTGGAAACGAACTCCTGTCCCTCGAAGACTAACGTCAGCAATTAGTGGTATGGCGCACAGTATGATCAT